CGCGAAATGAGCATTTGCCTACGCCTGTATTACACGTACTGACAAAACAAACTACTTCTGGAAGGGAAGCGAATTTGGGAGCCAGTTGTGCTCGGAAGCTGAAATTTTCTGAGAAAATGATGATGTGTGCAAATTCAAGCAATCTCACTATGGTACGAATTCATGCAAGGGTACACCGGCTCCACAACTGATCCCGGTTTGAATAACGGAGGCAGTCCATCCCAGCTCTGTGGCTTTTAAATTTTAACATGGAACCATAACTTTCTAGGCTATACGTTTTTTCCCTGAAAACTGCTTAATGCACAGAAAGCACATTTCTAAATTACCTAAAACAACTAAAATGCTATCTTAACTTCAGCTGCAAAATCTAACTTTTCAAATAACTTTTTATTAACAAGGACATAGTGCAACTTGTCAGTATGCCCGTAGAAATCTGTAAAATACATAACAGTTAGACAGGAAAAGCACAGGATACACCAAAACCAGAAAAATAAATAGTAATGTAAATGGACGATTGCACTGGAAGCTAGAAAAAAATAGTTCCGCACGCCAGCAAAGCAGCATTTTGGAGCTGAAACAGCACCAATTATACTGTAATCTCGATTTTCACGTGGTCATTCGTGAGATGCACCGTAAACAAAACATTATTTTCCCTTCATGAGACTACACGGGGACAAGAAACAAAATTTCAACTATGCAAAATTTCAACCATGCAAGATTTCAACTTCCTAGCTTTTCCCGCTGCTGCATTGAAGAATTCAGAGATGTCACAACGGGGTGAGGTCTTGGCAATCATTTTTGCACTACATCTACTAATGATTCAAAAAAAAGGGAATAAAAAGGAATGAAACAAGAAGGTGAGGGAAATGATGTGTTTTGGTATCAGCTCAACTGAAAAAAACAAAACGTTGGAATAATATAGGAGTGCTGTAAGTTGCTGCATATCGCTCATGGTAGAAATGTCAGAGAAAACCTGCCTTTTTCAAAAATCAATGAAAAGTTTTCTGCTGAAACTTCATCAAAAAGGGTGCGGAAAATGCCAAAGTTACCAAAAAAACATTTTCCACAAATCGATTATATTACCTAATGTAAAAGAAGCAAAATTTCGAAAATGTGCGTTCTGTAAAGCTATTGCTATACAAAACGCATACGTTTAACTATGCTTTTGATAGAAAATAAACTTTAAGCATAAACAGTCGAACAATAACACATACAATGAAGAAATCCCATATCAAAATAATGCTGGCTCATAATTAACAGACAGTAATTGTCCGTACCATGGGTTAACTTGCTCTTCATTCTCTCTTCTCTCTCACTCTCTCTGTTCTCTCCCTATTTTCTCATTCTTTCTCATACCCGCCTTGCAAATTAGTCACATGACTGTTCAGTACATGGCGGGTAGGAGGCTGTACTGATGATTCCCGCTCCCGACACGCATGCAAAGTTCGGTCTGTGTTTACAGCTAAGGGATGAAAAACAGACTACATCCTAACATATCCTCATACACGTGACACTCGGGCCAATCGCTTATCTCTTATTTTGCTACTTT